TTGCCCAGGTGGGTCTTGAACCCGCGGGCTCAGGCAATCCACTCACCTCAGCCTCCCAAAGGCACGGGATTATAGGCTGAGTCACCGAGCCCGGCTATGTCCATTTTCTTAAAAGGAAAGTGAGGCACTGGATTAGTTTGCTAGGCCTGCTGTGAAGATGTTCCACAGACCAGGTGGCTTACAAAACAGAAATTTATTTTCTTACTGTTCTAGTGGCTAGAAGTCACTAGATCAAGGTGTTGGCAGGGCTGGTTCCTTCTCAGGGTTGTGAGGGGAGGAGCTGTTTCAGGCCCTTCTCTTTGGCTTGTGGAAGGCTTCCTTCTTTTCCCCATTGTCTTCCTACCATCTTTCTTCTGTTCATGCCTGTGTCCTAATTTCCTCTTCTAGGACACCAGTCCTATTGGATTAGGGCCCACCCTAATGACCTCATTTTAACTTGATCACATCTTTAAATATCCTATCTCCAATACAGTCACATTCTGAGGTACAGAGGATCAGGACTTCAACATGAATTTTTTGGAGGGACATAAGTCAGCCCATAATAGGCACAGGGAGGCTGAGTAACTTGTTTAGAGTCACATGGCTACCGGATTACAGGTCAGGCATTCTGACTCCAAAATCCCTTGGTTCTGGCAATATTGAAAAAAGAAGAAGAAATGTCAAAGCAGGATTATACAAAGTGTGATCCATTTAAAATGTTTACATGAGTAAAATAATTGAACTCTTTTAAAAAGAAAAACAGGGCCAGAAGTGATGGCTCACGCCTACGCCTATGATCTTATCACTTGGGGAGGCTGAGGCAGGAGGATTGCTTGAGCCCAGGAATTCCAGATCAGACTGGGCAGCATAATGAGACTTCATCCCTACAAAAAAAAAAAAGAAAGAAAGAAAGAAAGAAAAAGAAAAGAAAAGAAAAAAAGTAACCGGATGTGGTGGTATGCACCTGTAGTCCCAGCTACTCAAGAGGCTGAGGTAGGATAGCTTTAGACAAGGAATTCAAGGCTTTGGTGAGCTACAGTTTTACCACTGCACTCTCAGCAAAAGAATGAAACCCTGGCTAAATAAATAAATAAATGAAAAATAATCAAATGCAATATGATTGTGCCAGAGGATAATTACTCAATATGTAAACTTAATATTAGTTTCTTTTTTTTTTTTTTGAGTTGGAGTCTCATTCTGTTGCCCAGGCTGGAGTGCAGTGGCACACTCACAGCCACCCCAGCATCGGCCTGCTGGGCACCGGCCATCCTTCTGTCTCAGCCTTCCAAGTAGCTGGAACTACAGTCGTGCACTACCATGCTGGCTAATTTTCAATTTATTGTAGAGATGAGTTCTCACCAAGTTGCCTGGGCTGGTCTCGAACCCAGGGGTTCAGGTAATCCACTTACCTCGGCCTCCCAAAGTGCTGGAATTACAGGCTGAGCCACTGAGCCCTGCCCAATATTAATTTCTGTGTACTACCAGGATAAGATCTGGTAACTGGATAAAAGTTTAAACCTGATGGACAATGTCATCTTTTCCCCTTCCCATGACATCTCATCAGGAGTAGCTTCAAGGTCAAAATTCAAGACCCTTGTTTAGGTGGAAATTGGTGAATGACCTGCTGTGCCTCCCTGTGCACTTGGGGAAGCCAAGCAGGATTATACAAAGTGTGGTCTATTTAAAATGTTTACATGAGTTAAATAAATGAGTTCTTTTTAAAAGAAAAACAGGGCCAGGAGTGATAGCTCCTGAAACTTTCTGAAACTTCTGGACTCCCCATTCTCTGGTCCCTTTGACCGTTGTCCTCTATTCACCCCAAGTCTGGAAACTTGGGAACTCAGCCTTTGCCGAGTTGCAGCAGTGCCCGTGAGAAGGTCTAAATACCCTATGGGCAAATGCAGGTGTTAGAGTAAAAGGAGACCCTATGGGCTTTAGTCCCAATATCCTAATGGTTCTAATGCTGTGACTGAGCATTCCACCACTGGATTTTATGCCTGAGAATGAAGTCAAACTAAATTGCGATGTCTGGAACGCTTTTGGATTATCACACTTGGCACCCTGGAATCCCTTGGGGTCTTCCCTTCTCCTAGCATTATGTCTGCTGAATGTGGGTCCGCCAACATGAGTGCAGATGACTGCTTCAGAGATGGACTTTCCAACCTGAAAAAATGCACCAATAGAGAGGCTGATTAAAGTGTAGTTTTTTGATGCGAAGTCTGTCCTGCCAGCACCGTGGCAATGCAACCAGGAGTTAAGATTGGAAACTGACACATTCACTGAGTTTCAGCATCTGAGAAGAAACTGCAATGCAACATTTTTTTTAAACAGGTGAATGCATAAGGCCAAGAGCCACAGGAGGTGATGGTGCATGCCAAATGGAGGTGGCAACAGCTTTATAACATGGTGCTCTTCACAGTCTGGCCTGGAGGTCACCTCGAGATCCTGGGACAGGCTCTGTGTTTTAGGTGGGTTTGCCCTAGCACAGGGTTCTTTTTTCTTTTTCTCTATTTTTACTTTTTTTCTCTCCTCTTCCTTTTCCTTCCCTTACCTGTTCTCTTCTCTCCCTTCCTCCTTCACTCCCTTCCTTCTCCCTTCTTTCTTCAAGTCCTGTTTATGTGATTGAGGGATTGCTTTCTCCTGGACTGTCAAATCAAAGGCGATAACATACCTCCTTCATGGGCAAATACTCAGTTCTGTGAATGGGCTTCAGGGCAGAAAGAGATCTCTTGCTTCGCCCTGTCTGCTTGTATTCTCCTCTCTCTCTTACCTCTCTGGCCCTTACTCTCTTGCCAGAGCTACACTCAGCCTGTCTCTTGCATCAGTCCTTTCTGTGATTACTGAAGCCTTTAATGGTTGATTATAAAATGTGGTGAACTCCTTTATTGGAATTTATCACAATTGAACACATACATAATATATGATACTTGTTTGTGTACTTGATCGGCCTTTGTCTCTCATTAGAGCATAAACTCTTTGAGGACAGGGATCCTGTCTACTTTTTTCACTGTTGCACTCCAGAGCTTAGCACAGTATGTGGCATGCCGTAGGTTCTCAATGCACGTTTTTTTGAATGAGTGAACAAGCGAGCTCGTGTGGGCTCTCCAATCACCCTGCGAAGTAGTGGTTGGCTATGTCAGTCTTCCTTTGGAGCTGAAGAGACAGTTAGCTAACAGGTGATGCAGACCCGGGCTTTCATGGCACCATGTGATCACTCCCCTGCCAAAAGGTAACTTGTTGTCTAGTTAGGGAGACCAAGTGGAGCAGGAAAAGACTGTGTGAGGAGCCTAAGGTAGGCAGTGAGGAGCTAGGAGTGAGAGCTGCTAGGCTACGGAGGGGCAGAGAGGTCAGAGCCGGGGCCAGGCAGGTACAGCCCCTGGGCCACACGTCCTGTCTTTGCCTCCACCTTCAGCGGCTTGCTGTCAGCTCCTGATGCTCCTGCCAAGGGTATGCCCTCTCTGGTCTTTCTATTTCCTGCCAGCTGAGCCCTTGCCAGGAACACTTTCTTGGGATGATCCCATTCTCTGTCAGGGTGCATTTGGATCTGTCCTTTCTCTCTTAGAGTCCCATGGATTTTCTCCATAGGCTGAGGCAGGGTGTGGACTGCCTAGCCCTAGGGGGCATCATACATCTAGACCACAATGGGCCTTCATAGTTGTGCAATGGAGCAACCTTGGGCTGAAGAAATCTTACTTGGACAGTCCAGTCTTTTAATATAATGCATGAGGGAAGAGAAAATTCTCAGAAAGAGCCCACCCTTGGACAGCTTAATTTGTCTTCTATTTGGAGAGGAAACTTGCACTCATTAGATGCCTGGTGTTTGCCAGGTATAAGCAAAGTACTTTGTGTATGTTGTCTTATTTAATTCTCTCTACAAC